CATGCAGGAGCCAGGAGCCAGAGCCAGTGCTTTTCCTGGTCTCCATGGGTGCAGGGCCCAAGCACCTGGGCCATCCTCCACTGCACTCCTGGGCCACAGCAGAGAGCTGGCCTGGAAGAGGGGCAACCGGGACAGAATCCGGTGCCCCAACCAGGACTAGAACCCGGTGTGCCGGTGCCGCTAGGTGGAGGATTAGCCTAGTGAGCCGCGGCGCTGGCCTGGGAAATTTTCTTAAAGAAGTCACAAAAGCACCAACCATAGGGGGGAAATGATAAATTTGACTATGCTGTAATAATAAGCTGTTGAGCTAAGCATAAAACAGACACTTATGTATTTGGAGTTGAAATTTGCAACATATACACTTGAGAGTCTTCAGAATATGGGAAGAACCTCCTCAAATCAGCTGGGACACAGACACTCCAACAGAAAATAACTGTGGGACAAAAATGTGGAGAGGCGCTTCCCAAGAAGGGGGTGTGATCTGAGAGTGCAAGTGTTCAATGTTTCAAGTGACCACTGAACTCGTGAAAAGATGCCCAGCCTAGCCGGTGATTGAGAAATGCAAATCAACACCACTCCAGGTACCGTTTCACACCTGAGATCAGCAAAGCGTGATGTAGCCAAGTGTTGGCCAGGCTGTGTGGCAGCGGGGACTTACCCGCTGCTGGTGGGAGTGTGAATTGATGCCACCACCCTTAAACAATTCACCACTGTCAGTGAGAGTTGACAGTGCCCGCACCATGTGCCTGGCAGTTCTGTTTCAAGGTTAATGAGAGGGGGTCTTCCAACAGTTCGTGGAAGATGCATACTGGGAAAAAATGATGCGTGGACATCAAGATTTTTTTTTTTAACAGGCAGAGTGGACAGTGAGAGAGAGACAGAGAGAAAGGTCTTCCTTTGCCGTTGGTTCACCTTCCAATGGCCACCGCGGCCGGCACGCTGCAGCCGGTGCACTACGCTGATCCGAAGGCAGGGGCCAGGTGCTTCTCCTGGTCTCCCATGCAGGTGCAGGGCCCGAGTACTTGGGCCATCCTCCACTGTACTCCAGGGCCACAGCAGAGAGCTGGCCTGGAAGAGGGGCAACCAGGACAGAATCTGGTGCCCCGACTGGGATTAGAACCCGGTGTGCCGGTGCCACTAGGGGGAGGATTAGCCTATTGAGCCGTGGCGCCGGCCCCAAAATTTGTTTTACAGCAAAATATAGTTATGTTTTAATTTAACTTTCCAAAACTTTAAAAAAAATCATTTACTTGAAATTCAGGGTTACAGAGAGAAAAGGAGAAAGAGAGAGAGAGAGAGAGAGAGAATGAGAGAGAGAGAGAGAGAGAGAATATCTTCCATCACTGGTTCACTTCCCAGATGATTGCAATGGCTAGGGCTGGACCAGGCCAAAGCTAGCAGCCAGGAGCTTCTTCTGGGTCTCCCACATGGGTAGCAGGGGCCTAAGAACTAGGGCCATCCTCTGCTGCTTTCCCAGGCCATTAGTGGGGAGCTGGATCGGAGGTGGAGCAGCTGGAACGTGAACTGGTACCCATATGGGATGCCAATGTCGCAGGCAGTGGCTTTACCTGTTATGCCAGGATGCCATTCCCTTCCACAAACCTCTTAGAGATTTATTTATTAGAGAAGGGGAGAGAGAGAGAGAGAGACAGACAGAGACAGGGGGGCAAAGTGGGAGAGAGCGACAGACAGTTGTAGAAATTCCCAAGTTCAGTGCAGTGCCCAAGTACCCACCATGGCTGGGGCTAGGTCAAGACCAAAGGCGCAAGCTGGAACTCATTCCAAGTCTCCCCTGCAGCTGGTAGGAACCCGGTTCCTTGAACCATCACCTGCTCATCACCAGGATCTGCACGGGCAGGAATGCTGGAGTCGGGGGCCTGAGCTGGGAAGAGAACCCAGGCGCACCAATGTGGCATGCAGGCAGCTGAGGGGCTGACTCCCAGCCCTCCGTGGGCTTCTGCACGTCCTTTGTACTACGGTGATCCACATGCATAGGAGAAGACAAGTGCGCGGCAGCCCCATTTGTCATACTGAAGGCGTGCACCGCCCAAATGAGGCTATCAATAGGAGAACAGATGAACTCATTTTGTTACATTAAAAACCGAGCTCCTCAAAGTGAAACTGAATGGAGCAGCAAGTGAATGATGGCCCCCAGGCCAAATCCAATCCAGGGCTCGCTTCTGTAAACACCGTTTTCCTGGCGCACAGCCATGCCCGTTCGTTTCCGGGCGGTTTGCCGTTGCTTTCGGCTCCGGTGGCAGGGCTCAGCTGTTGCGCCAGAACCCACTGACCCTGCCATGTGGCCTGCGAGGGCTGTCAGGTTCACTTTCTGGACCTTCGCGGAAAAACCTCCTGACCCTTCAAGAGAGCCACCTACAACAATGCGGATCATGGTCATGATGTACTGTCAAAGAAAGTGATCGCCAATGGATATCTGAAGCCACAGAGCTTGCTGAATCTCCAACACACACACACACACACACATACACACATACACACACCCCAGATCATCCTGAATCTCTCTCACACACACACCCCAGGTCATCCTGAATCTCTCTCTCTCACACACACACACCCCAGATCACCCTGAATCTCACACACACACCCCAGGTCATCCTGAATCTCACACACACACACACACACCCCGGGTCATCCTGAATCTCTCACACACACCCCAGGTCATCCTGAATCTCACACATACACACACACACACACACACCCCAGGTCATCCTGAATCTCACACACACACACACACCCGTGGTAGGGCTTACATTATAAGTCTGGCTCAGTAAGAGATCAGTAATAACTAATAAGGAAGTCTTGCCGGCGCCGCGGCTCAATAGGCTAATCCTCCGCCTAGCGGCGCCGGCACACCGGGTTCTAGTCCCGGTCGGGGCACCGGATTCTGTCCCGGTTGCCCCTCTTCCAGGCCAGCCCTCTGCTGTGGCCAGGGAGTGCAGTGGAGGATGGCCCAGGTGCTTGGGCCCTGCACCCCATGGGAGACCAGGAAAAGCACCTGGCTCCTGGCTCCTGGCTCCTGCCATGGGATCAGCGCGGTGCGCCAGCCGCAGCGCGCCGGCCGCGGCAGCCATTGGAGGGTGAACCCAACGGCAAGGAAGACCTTTTCTCTCTGTCTCTCTCTCAAAAAAAAAAAACAAAACAAAAACAAAAACAAACAAAAAAAAAACTAATAAGGAAGTCTACCAGGAATCCCAGGAATAACAAGATACTGTTAGTGACAGTGCTGTGAATGTCACTTCTCTCCCCAGAATATCTTTGTGCACT